TATCTAGGCTCGTTATCTAGGACGTTATCTAGGATCGTTATCTAGGATTGTTATCTAGGACGCTATCTAGGACGTTATCTAGGCTCGTTATCTAGGACGTTATCTAGGATCGTTATCTAGGATTGTTATCTAGGACGCTATCTAGGACGTTATCTAGGCTCGTTATCTAGGACGTTATCTAGGATCGTTATCTAGGATTGTTATCTAGGACGCTATCTAGGACGTTATCTAGGCTCGTTATCTAGGACGTTATCTAGGATCGTTATCTAGGATTGTTATCTAGGACGCTATCTAGGACGTTATCTAGGCTCGTTATCTAGGACGTTATCTAGGATCGTTATCTAAAATCGTTATCTAGAATCGTTATCTAGGATGTTATCTAGAACTAGGACAAGAAGCTAGAATTCAAAGAAATATTCAGATAATGGGTGTCCTGGCGACGCCATTTTATGTGGCTTATGCGATCATGACGGTCATCTTAGCGATAAATCGTTTCGTTCAATTAGCCTCTCCAACATGGGACCGATTGTTGTTTTCATCGAAGGGAGTAAAGGTTTTTGAAACACTCAACTAAAAGTTACAAACAAATAAAGTAATTTCTCTAATAGTAATGCACCCTGAGCGCCGCCTAAATTCCTCGAAATCTCGAGAACCGCTTCTCAGAACCTATCGATGTGGGGTCGGAAAATGTAGCTGACGATGAGATCTAGTGGGGGATTTGAGTGTTGAGCTTCTGCAGCTTCTGTGAAAACTTTAAAAGCCGTAAAATAGTCACCAACTCGGCTCAACTCGGGTGCACTACTATTAGAGAAAACACGGTAACTTTTTTTCATTTCTAGGCTTGGATCGGCCTGGCTTCTCTATCATGTCTCATTTACATGATCGCTCTCTCTTCTCCATATGCCAGTATTGTCTATTATCCGGATTGGTACAGGTAGAAAATGTGATCAAATTGTGATCAAAGTTTTATCTGTATGATTGTAAATATTGTTTACGATCTTTAAATATTGTTTTACGTTTGCTAAGCTTAATACAAGACTATAAACTTAACTTAACTTAACTTATACTAACCTATTGTAAACTTAACTTAATACTAACTTATTGTAAAACTAAGTAATACTAACTTATTGTAAAACTAAGTAATACTAACTTATTGTAAAAGTAGAGCAAGTAAAAGTATCGATATTTATAGCTTAAATCGATATTTATAGTCAGGCTCAAGTCAGGGTCAAAATTCAGGCTCAGGCTTAGGCTCAGGCTCAGGCTTAGGCTCAGATTCAGGCTGAGATCTAGCGAAAAATCGCTAGTTGCTAGATTCTGTCGCTTGTCGGGTTCACCAATGTCAACTAGTGCCCCTACATAAAAAAGTTCTTTCTAAAAGTTCTAAAAGTAAAAAGCTTTCAATTTGTTCAGCATCAAATTTCGATGTCTTCTTTTGATTACTTTAATGAATCTTTTCTTGTAATTGTACGAAAATTTCGATACGAATACAATAATTGAGTTTTCTAGGTTATAAAACTGGTGAAGCTATTATTTACTTTTTAACTTATTTACTTTTTATTCTTAGAAACTTTTCTTGATAGTTTTGGAGTGACTCTATAATTAATTGGAGTTTGCCTTAAAACCTTGACTTTGGCTTGGCTTGGCTGGGTCACTGGCCTTGGCTTGGCTTGGCTGGCTTACTGACCTTGGCTTGGCTGGCCTACTGGCCTTGGCTTGGCTGGCTTGCTGACCTTGGCTTGGCTGGGTCACTGGCCTTGGCTTTGCTGGCTTACTGACCTTGACTTGGCTGGCTTGCTGACCTTGGCTTGGCTGGCTTGCTGACCTTGGCTTTGCTGGCCTACTGGCCTTGACTTGGCCCAGGACGGAGCTACTCTAACTGTTCTAGCCAGCCTGACCAGGCCAGGATTATTCTAAACTTGAACTCTTGTTTACAATTCTAATCCAAGCCTAAAATATAAGTTTTAATATATAATATGAAGTTGGGACTACGTGCACACTCCGCCAAACAATCTCTCAATTGTTGTTCAAAAAGTCGAGGAAGTGATCGAGATTGGCGGCATTTTCGTGGCCGCTTTCTTCTATGGCGGTGTACTTTTGCTCCTTTGCAGAACAGTAAGAAATTTTCTCGTAATTAGAATTATTTTCTAAAAGCTAAGGGGATATTTCAGAGACATATCTTCAAATCCTCGAAAAACTATCGAGTTGAAGCAAAAATTTTGATCCAAGCCGTCGTCATCACTGTCTATTGCACAATTTTGAACGTTTTTTGGCATAATTATCAGGTAATCTAATATACAAATTTAAACTTTAATGTTTTTAAAATACTAAAAAGCTACAGATTATAAAATGGGGACTGGAAGCTATAGATTATAAATTTTATATTTATAAAGATTATAAATTGAGTGGAGCACAGAATCTCTGAAGACTCGAGCTTGCTTCAAGCTTTATCTCGGAGGACTCAAGCGTGCTTCAAGCTTTATCTCGGAAGACTCGAGCTTGCTTCATGCTTTCTCTCGGAAGTCTCGGAGCTTGAGAATGAGTGAATGAAGAATCACGTTGTGAACAGTTTTCCGGCAAACGGGCAGATTCTTGTCTTTTCTAAACGTTTCAAGAGAATTCGTTGAGTTGGAGGCTGAGGATTGATGAGTTGGAGGATTGCGGCTGTTGGAGGCTGAGAATTGATCTTTCCGCTCTCGTTCGGAGAGTTTGAGCTTTCTTCCACCGTAATGATTGGCATTGTGGGTTGACCGGGTACGATGATCAAGTGCAAAATCGAGAACGCTTCGAAATTGCTACTTGACTCCACCCGAGTGTTCGGGCATAATGATGCGGCGAAACGGGCTCGGTCGCTCACCACTTCTATCACTTTACCGATCTTTACCTGACACTTGACCGGTCAAAAAGGGAGCAGATATGTATAGTGGCCGTGTGCCAGATGGTGAGCGATTACGCGGTTGCACAAAGAACACACAGAAGCTCTTTTACATAGGGATTTTCTTGTAAATGACAGAAGAAGATCGTGTAAATGACAGAAGAAGTCGTAAATTTTTTATCTGGGGGTTTTCGAGGTCGGAGAATCGCTACTATATTATTTTTGCTTATCTCTAAGCAAAGTTATGGGCCTTGAAAGCACCTTGAAAGGCTCTAGGGCCTTGAAAGCGCTTGTTACTCATGAAAAAGCTGAATACACGAACGGAAAACGAATAAGAGCCAACTTTTACAACGATGAAACCTCTCTAGTCTAGATTTCGATTCAATCTAGTCTTCAATCTAGTCCTCAATTTGCTCAGGTGCTTCTCCCAGCCAGTATCTGGTCCTATATGGCGCTTAATTTCATGTGGATTTTCAACAGTGGTATTTATCCGCTTATCTACTTCATTCTTAACAAGTTTGTTGAAAGATTAAGAATAAAATGAGAATAATATCTGTATTATGTACTTTTAAAGTACTATAATATTAGAACTATAATTTAGAACGATTCGCGAAAAGGTTCGTCGAGCCGCGATCACTCGAGTCGAACTATCACACGTTTTCAATCGAAACGGCGATCATAGTAAGAGTTTTAGAGAGCTATATCTGCTTTTTTTGTGCCCCAGAAAGCATTCGTTTATGTAAAACGACAAAGAACCAGTAGACTTGTTCTTTTATGTGTACTTTGTTCTCGAAAAGGTAAAGACATTCTTTCTGGTGCGCCAAATTTTGTATGCCTAGAGAATTAGGAAAAAGTTAGAGTTGAAAAAATGAATTCTGTTTCATTACTCATTGCTCATTGTGTGAAAATTGAGTTTTCAGAGGCGATCACAACAACGACCATTCCGAAAAGACCGTCTTGTAGTGGAGAAACGGATGGGAGTAAAGTGAGTGGTGTTTACAGTAAGCTTAGGCTCAGGCTCAGGCTTAGGCTTAGGCTTAGGCTTAGGCTTAGGCTTAGGCTTAGGCTAGGCTTAAGCTCAGGCTCAGGCTCAGGCTTAGGCTTAGGCTTAGGCTTAGGCTTAGGCTAGGCTAGGCTTAAGCTCAGGCTCAGGCTCAGGCTTAGGCTTAGGCTTAGGCTTAGGCTTAGGCTTAGGCTAGGCTTAAGCTCAGGCTCAGGCTCAGGCTTAGGCTTAGGCTTAGGCTTAGGCTTAGGCTAGGCTAGGCTTAAGCTCAGGCTCAGGCTCAGGCTTAGGCTTAGGCTTAGGCTTAGGCTTAGGCTAGGCTTAAGCTCAGGCTCAGGCTCAGGCTTAGGCTAGGCTAGGCTTAGGCTCAGGCTTAGGCTCAGGCCTAGGCTTAGGCTTAGGCTAGGCTAGGCTTAGGCTCAGGCTTAGGTATTGGCGCAACATACCCAGCCAAAAACGAAGGGGAAGGAGGTTCTTTCCCTTCCCCTTGCTTCCCCTTCCTAGTTGGGAAGGGAAAGCGAGCCCTTCTCCTTCCCAACTAGTGCGGCAACCTCCCGAATTTTGTGTGGACGTGCATAAAGATCATTTTGATACAGTTTACAGTAATTTTACAGTTTACAGTAGGCTTACAATAAGCTACATGTGTTTACAGTAAGTTTACAAAGCTGTCTTTGTTTACAGTAAGCTTACCATAGGCTTTATGTGCTTACAGTAAGCTTACAAAGCTATATATGCTAAAAGTAAGCTTACAATAAGCTTTATGTTTTTACAATAAGTTTACAATGTTTACTTTGTATCTGTTACGTCTAAATTCGAACTAGCCCCCGAACTAATTGCATAAAATCGCGCAGAATACCTTTTTCTTTATAATTTCTTACAAATTTGCTTTTTTTTTACATTTCGATGCAGAAAAGAATTCTTTATTTCTTAAACTACAATGCATAATAAACTATTAAAATATAACTATAATATGAGTTAAACTATAGTACAATAAATTAATATAAACTATAATTTTTTTTATAGTTTATTAGTTAAAGACAAAAAAATCGAGATTTTTTTGACACTTTTCTTAAGCTTTTTTTGGCGCTAAGCCTGAGCCTAAGCCTGCGCCTAAGCTTGAGCCTAAGCCTGAGCCTGAACCTGAACCTGAGCCTAAGCCTGAGCCTGAACCTGAACCTGAGCCTAAGCCTGAGCCTGAACCTGAACCTGAGCCTAAGCCTGAGCCTGAACCTGAACCTGAGCCTAAGCCTGAGCCTGAACCTGAACCTGAGCCTAAGCCTGAGCCTGAACCTGAACCTGAGCCTAAGCCTGAGCCTGAACCTGAACCTGAGCCTAAGCCTGAGCCTGAACCTGAACCTGAGCCTAAGCCTGAGCCTGAACCTGAACCTGAGCCTAAGCCTGAGCCTGAACCTGAACCTGAGCCTAAGCCTGAGCCTGAACCTGAACCTGAGCCTAAGCCTGAGCCTGAACCTGAACCTGAGCCTAAGCCTGAGCCTGAACCTAAGCTTAAGCCTTTGGAAGACTTTTCCAGGCGTTTTAACTGAGCGAATTCTTTTTCCTTCATTGATCATTGTTAAATCATCGCCCGTGAAGAGGCTCTTCTATTGGATACAGCTTTTCTAATGGAGAGAGCTCTTCTATTTTTCAACCCTCCTCTAAAGGACTCTTCTAATAGAGTAAAGCTCTTTGATTAGTTTTTGATTAGTCTACTGTCTACAATCTACAGTTTGCAGTCCACAGTAACATGCTACAGTCTACAGTAGCAGTCTACTGTCTACAGTAACCGTTTACAGTCTACAGTAACAGTCTACAGTCTGTCCTCCAGCTACAGTAACCAAAAAAAGATCACTTTCAGGTGTCCACAACGGTGAAACAAAAATGGCGTAAACGTTTCACTGTTTCCTCTTCGCCATTTATAAAAACGGAAACGATTCAAGGGAAAATCCTCTTTCTCACTTAAAATCAACAACTTGTATTGTATTGCCTTAAGAGAAATTTATTTGTAATTCAATTTCAACAATGATATATGGGAAAAACAACAACAACAACAACAAAGAAGAAGAGAAACTTTTTGAAATTTACTCAAGTTTCGAAAGGTCTCTTTTGAAATCGATTGATTGAATAGTTCATTGACAGCTAGTGTTGACAGCTAGTGTTGAATAGTTCATTGACAATGGCATTGTCATTGTCAATCGATTGTGCGTTCAGAAGGGCTGAGAACTTGGCTGAGAACTGGCTGAGAAACTTTTCCCGATAAATTTGCTGAATTTCAAGATTTGGGGACAGAATCATCGTATCATTTGCTTGGTGGGGGACAGAATCATTGTATCATTTGCTTGGTGGGGGACAGAATCATTGTATCATTCACTTGGTGGGGGACAGAATGATAATATCATTCTGTCCCCCCCCAAGATAATAAGTTATAAAAATGAAAATAAAAATTCTGTGGGGGCAGTTGTGGAATTGGTAAAAGCGTTCGTTGTATTTTATTTCGGCGTCCTGTGGGGGGCAAATGTGGAATAGGTGCCCCCCCCACCTATTCCACATTGGGGGCAAAAGTGGAAAAAAATGGAGGCTAATCTGGAATGTTCAAGCCGGGGAACAAAAGTAGAATGGTTAATCAAAAGGGGCAAAATCGTCGTTGTCCCCCTCCGAACATTTTAAACATTTTAAACACTTTAAACACCCTATATTTAGAGGAAACCATCGGTTAATTGGTGAATTTGTCATTTTACAACGTATAGCCAACATATTCTTTTCCAGTAAGCTTAAAGAATAGAATAATATTGAAAATTGAATCACGAGAGTACTCTCTGGTAGTCTGGTTCTCTGGCAGTCTGGTTCTCTGGCTGGTTCTGTGGTAGCACGAGGTAGCTGGTTCTAAAATCCTTACGATAACCAATTTTTGCTCATCGAACCTTCAAATCTTCGAACTTAGAACGTCTACTTCGAGAAATTCTTGAATTTTCACCCAATTTTCACCCAATTCTCACTCTTTTCAAAAGCAAACATGTAATCACAGAGTAGATGAAAGAAAGAGAAAAGGAAAGAAAGAAAATCAACGCGGGTACAAATCGCAAAATGACTACAAGAGCAAATTTCAAAGTTGACATGAAAAAAAAAAGACAAAAATTCCACCCACTAAGCAAATAAGCAGTAAAAAGGTTTAAAAGTCGAAAGAAATCTCCGTCTTTCTATTTAAAAACTACATTCGATTGAGAAAGATCATTCCAAAGGCAAAGCGGATTCCAAAGATGCTCAACTTTCTACTGTTAAATGCTTTTAGTTGGTTGAACTTTTTTATCTAAAATTGGATCTGAATTTAGTTTCTTTGGCCTTGGCTCAATGCTCGTTTTCGAGCGACAATATTGTGGCGAATTGGACGGTGAGGAGTACTGTAGCTTTTTAGGGATACGGTAGTTATTAGGCTTGAAGATTACTATCTGTTTTTCACTTTTTTTTTCTTTGTGGCATTGCAAAAAATGCAAATAAGACGAAAAAATCGTTTTCTATAGGATTTTTACCCCGTTTTCTATAGGTTTGAATAGCCAATTGACGCAGAAAAATGTGCTGAATTCGAAAATAAAAGAATTCCTTGAAAACCCTTCGACAAATTTTTGGGGACTAGGTTGAGGATAGGTTGAGGATAGGTTGAGAATAGGTTGAGGATTAGGTTGAGGATAGGTTAAGGTCTAGGTTGAGGATAGGTTAAGGTCTAGGTTGAGGATAGGTTAAGGTCTAGGTTGAGGATAGGTTAAGGTCTAGGTTGAGGATAGGTTAAGGTCTAGGTTGAGGATAGGTTGAGGACTAGGTTCAGGTCTAGGTTCAGGACTAGGTTGAGGACTAGGTTAAGGACTAGGTTGAGGATTAGGTTGAGGATAGGCTGAGCAAGGTTAAGGCCTAGGTTCAGGACTAGGTTGAGGATTAGGTTGAGGATTAGGCTTAAGCTTTTTTATTCAGACGTACCCGATTACTGTAGCTTTAGGAAATACGATAGTGATGATATCTAGAGGATTATAGAGTACATTTTAGAGATTACGGTATTTATTATATCTCTAGAAGATTACGGCACTTAGATTATATTAAGTTAGCCAACAGATCACTGAGCACAGGTTTTCGGGGTGTTGCTTTTGTAAGTTGTTACTTGTTGTAAGTAAAGTGAAAGGGTTACGGTACTATTCATAGAATCTAGCCAAGATATTCAGCTAGCGATATTCAATTGAACGCTTTTATGCATTTCAGACATCAAACGGACAACTGACGATCAATTTCATGAATTCAAAACTCTCAAATCAACAGTACACAGGAATCGCTTTTGGAGCTTCGATGGTGAGTGCTGTACTGGTCAAAAACTATAAACATACCCTTTCCACCACACTGAAACCATCATTTTTCTTGCAGCAACGAGAAAAATGATTATTTAGATGAAAATGATGATGTAAAATAATGTAAAATAATGAAAAATGATAAAAAATGATGAAAAATGATGAAATGATGATGAAATGATGATTAGAAAGCGCTCGTTTATAAATTTAGATCACAAATTGCACTTCATAGAAAGCCCACTTCATTTTTAATCCATTTTTAATCCATTTTCTTTCAGACAAACTTGGAAGTGATCGTTTTCGAAGTGAAAAACAATAAACCAATTGTTTTGACGGGTTAGTTCAATGCAAATTGTTTGTTTGAAATGAACAAGGACAAATAAACAAGCAAACAGGACAAACAACAGCTCAGGACAAACAGCTCATCAACTTTAGGACAAACAACAGCTCATGGACCACCGACAACGATCGATTCAATCACAAGCTCGAAAGCTCAAACTCTCAGCTATAGTAAGAAGAAGATATTGTCGAAATAGTGCAAAAATCTTAGAAAATGGAATCCTGATGGCTACAGTAACCCGCCCGATTTCTTTGATCAGCCCAAGAAATAACAACTTGAGCGGATGCTCGCAATGGAATGTGAGTTGTCGAAAAAGTGTAGCTTGGGCTCGTTTCTAAACATCTCCTTTCTGGTGCACTCGTTTTTCAAATTAGTTTTCCAAGCCAAAAGCCAGCTCAGGGACTTGATAAAGGTAATTTCTGTTGTTTTCTAAAAGGTGAATAGTTTGGAAAGCTACCGTAATCTTTCTTTCATAGTTTGTCCGATTTACTGGAATTCGGTGACTCGAATGGGATCAAAATTAAATAGAACGGACGGGAGCTGAAGGAAAGAGCTGGCCGTAGCTGGGCTAATGGATAGATTACAATAGCTGGTCTAATGGATAGATTACCGTGGCTGGGCTAATCGATAGATTACAGTAGCTGGTCTAATGGATGGATTACGGTAGCTAGCCTAATGGATAGATTACCGTAGCTGGGCTAGTGGATAGATTACAGTAGCTGGTCTAATGGATGGATTACAATAGCTGGTCTAATGGATAGATTACCGTGGCTGGGCTAATCGATAGATTACAGTAGCTGGTCTAATGGATGGATTACGGTAGCTAGCCTAATGGATAGATTACCGTAGCTGGGCTAGTGGATAGATTACAGTAGCTAGCCTAATGGATAGATTACAGTAGAACACATTGAGCTCGTGCTTTTCCAGATTTTCCTCTAAACTATCCAGCTACTTTTTAGCCAAATCGTTCTACGCTAGAGCCAATCTTGATCTGGCCAATCTTGACCTGGCCAATCTTGATCTGGCACATCTTGATCTGGCAAATCTTGATCTAGCCAATCTTAATCTGGACAATCTTGACCTGGCCAATCTTCACCTAATCTGGCTCAAGAAAATCGACTTTCTATTTTAGTTCGTCGCCGCTTCGCCTCTCAATTCTGATGGATCGATCAGCAAACATACGATTCAGCCGAAACCGGTGAGTCAGCGCCGAAGATTTGGCTTGGCTTTGGCTAAGAATATAGCTCGATCAATTGCTTTAGAACTTTTGATATCAAATCGGTTCTTTAATATTTACAAGGGAAGGTCAACCGGGTGTGGTGGCCAAATGACATTCGACACTCAAATGACAATTAGATCATTTGACACAGGATTTTGCGCTCATTCCGAATCTGCTTTGCATTTTTGAAACGCAGCACTCTGTCAAAAGTTATTAGCGCTCAAAGTTTTGTATGGGGTTTTCAAAGATTCCTCAAGTTTACAAGCAGATTTCCAAGGGTGTTGAAGAGGCAGTGATGGCCGGAGTGGTAGTCGCTTAGAATACAAAGTAAACCCTCTCAGATTCGAGTCCGCAGTTTGACTTTCGTCGGCTTTTCTAGAGGTAATTTCTAGAGGCCTTTCTAGAGGTTCTAGAGGCTTTTCTAGAGGTTATAGAGGCTTTTCTAGAGGTTCTAGAGGCTCTAGAGGTATCTCCATTTCTCCAAGTATCGAATGAAACTCGTCAATTCCACCAATGGATCAAAAACCTCCAAAAAAGCAAAAGAAGGCCAAAATGCGGACTCGAACCCGAGAGGGTTTACTTTGTATTCTAACCGACTACCACTCGGCCACCACTGCTTACCGAAGATCCTGGGAAATCTGCTTATAAAGGGACCTTTTAAAATTCCATCCAAAACTTTGAGAGTGCTAACTTTTGACAGAGTGCTGCGTTGCAAAAACGGAAAGCAGATTCGGAATCAGCGCAGAATTCTACGTCGGCCAGTCTATGGCTTTTGGCCACTACACCTAGCAAAACAGCTCTGTAGCAAAAAAGAAAATCAGACCAGGTCAAAATTCTGCGTCGAATATCAATAGCTTGTGTCATTTGGTCATTTGGCGGTTGACTTTCCCTTTAACTTACTAAACTTACTTCTAATAAGTCTCACCCGGATTCTAGAGGTTCTAGAGGCTTTTCTAGAGGTTCTAGAGGTTCTAGAGGTTCTAGAGGCTTTTCTAGAGGTTCTAGAGGTTCTAGAGGTTCTAGAGGCAATCAATGTGAGCGTGTGCAGTCAATGTGAGCTTCATGACGTTGGCAGCGTGAACACACACTTTCTAATGCACTTAAATCCTCATCTAAAGAACAAAGTGCAGTTCTCTTTCTCGAAAACAAGCAATTTTATGACTTTCAACAAACTCACAACAAAACTTTCAACTTCAACTTTATTAAATAAACTTTAAACTTACTAAACTTACTTCTAATAAGTCTCAGCCGAATTCAACTTTCAGATGAACGTTTGCCCGTTGAATTGTCCGATGATGGGTTAAAAGAAAAAGAAAAGCTGATAGACAACTTCAATTGTGAATAAATTTCAAAAAAAATACTATCAAAATTGTTAACAAATCTTTATTAGAAGTTTCTCATTGATTGTTTTTACGGCTGAGGTGTTGAGTGTTTCGGGCTTGGCACATTGCAGAGACGGCATGTCTTTTTGCACGTCCATTTCAGCCCGATCGGGTTTGATTCTCGGACCTGAAAGAGGGGAATGATTTGCGGGAAAGACTACTTCCGTATTGCTGGCTTATTGCACCGAAAACTGTAGGGTCTGTAGATTACTGTAGGGTCTGTAGATTACTGTAGGGTCTGTAGATGGTTGTACGGTCTGTAGATTACTGTACGGTCTGTAGGTTACTGTACGGTCTCTAGATTACTGTACAATCTCTAGATTTGCTGTAGTCTTTTTAAGTCGTTTACCTATTTTTCTGTAGCCAGTACTTTAAATCCTAACGTACCACAAACGCTTTAGCCTCTCCGCTATCCTCGAATTTGTTGTAAAACTCGGTTTCTTTCACATTCGTTATACACATTGACTGCGTACACCTGAATGAGTTTTGAGAAGTTTTAAAAGTTTCACAAAATTGAATGCAAAGAAAGTCGACAGAGATTATAAGAAAGTCGGCAAAGATTATTGCAAAGGAATAATCTTTGCTTAGAAGATATTCAGGCAAAGTTTAAAAACCGAACCAAGCAGCTCGATCCTCACAATTGGTGGCTGGGTCGACGGGTTCTGATGGATCAGCGGGAGCCTCTGGATCCGCACCGCCGGGAACTGGGGCCGAGAACTAAATAAATTTTATTTATGAAAGGGATAGCTTTCTACTAGACTTGATAGCTTTCTACAACTATTCAGTACCTTAACTTGTCGAGAGAAAGAAGGAAGAAGAAAGGAAGAAGATAGGGGGAAAGAAGAAAGGAAGAAAGAACAAAAGGAAAGATAAGGGATAAAGGAAGAACTATCCGAATCACATTTAACTGGTCGACTAGCTCTCAACCTAACCACCGTACCCGCTAAAAACTAATCCATAATCCTCCAAATTTCCGTAGTCATCTAAAAGCAAGCTTACGGTACTTAGAATTACGTAGCAAGCTTTAAAATTACGTAGCAAGCTTTGAAATTACGTAGGAAGCTTTGAAATTACTTAGCAAGCTTTAAAATGGCGTAGCAAGCTTTGGAATTACATAGCAAGCTTTAAAATTACGTAGCAAGCTTTAAAATTATGTAGCAAGCTTAAGAATTACATAGCAAGCTTTAAAATTACGTAGGAAGCTTTAGAATTACTCAGCAAGCTTTAAAATTACGTAGCAAGCTTTAAAATTACGTAGCAAGCTTTAAAATTACGTAGCAAGCTTTAAAATTACGTAGCAAGCTTTAAAATTACGTAGCAAGCTTAAGATTACGGTAAAAAGGTTGACAAATTTAGAAACGTTATTCAAAAAACGTTATTCAATCAATGACACTCACCACCGATACAATGAAGAACAGAGAAACAATCAAAATTCTCATTTTCCCGACTTGAAATGGATCTGTGAAGCCGAATGAGGGAAAATTTCGAGGGAAAATCCTCACGATATTCGAAGCTCCGTTCAACCATATATTTCTAACGTTTTTTCTCATTTTTTGGAATGTCCACGTTTTATGTTCCCATCTGAGCAAATATGACCTCTTTTTTGACGATAATCATTGAAATTTTTCAACAAAAAGGAAAGACTGCATCCGGTTGAGGTGAAATGCAAAAAATCTTTCGAATATCTTTCGAATTTTTGTGAAAATCAACTTTATTAAATAGTTTGAAACGTAAAAAATAGTAATTGTTCGGAAATTCTTCCGATAAAGTCTATTTCTCTTTAAATCTATCGATCAATAACATCAACAACTTGATTGCCGAGTGGTGGATGAAAGAATCGTTTGTGGACGATCTGACCGGACCGGATTGGACGTCACATCGACTACCGATCATCGACTACCGAGGAGACCTATTCCGATTCGACGACCGCTCAAAGACGGTCACCGGACTCGCCGAAAACACAATAACAACACTGGCCATCAACATCCAAGGAATGTCTACAACCACCAGGGTGGACGTGGCCCGTTGCCGGCTCGAGAATTATAAAATATAAAATTTATTGAAGCTTTGCTAGAAAGCTCTAGAAAGCTTTTCAATCTTTTAATTCAGATTATTTTTAGATAGACTCCAAGAATCTTCATCCATCTCATACTTCGCTCAGATTTTACGAAGAAATCACACTTTTCCGTCTCCGTGACGCTTAGCCTTTTCAATCATCGCTTTTTTTTTCAAACATTCAATCAGCTTAGCCAATTCATCGGCTATCAATGTCACTGTTGGCCAAAAATAGGCAACGAAAGAAAGTTGTATTGGCTCGAGAAAAGCAGCGTTTTACTGCTACTTCTAATGGTCTATTCTAATGGTCTAATGGTCTTCTAATGGTTACTGCTACTTCTAATGGTCGCTTGCCCGGTCGTGATCTTTCCCAGCTTTCTTTTGCGATCTTTCTCAGCTTCTAAAGCTGCTTTCTCAACTCAGATCTTTCTCAGCTCTTTCTCAGTGACGCAAACATACTTGCGCAAATCAAATACCGGAAAATAGCCTACCCCAAAAAGAGAGATAGTTTTGTTATTTGAATTTGTTTTTCATGCAAATTTTCATATACCGTATTTTCTTTAATATTAGGGTGGTGCAAAAGAAACTGCCGATGGGTATCAGCTCTCATTTATCAGAAGCGAGCGATGCTAACGGCATCATTATTTTTTTATGTCTTGTTCGCATATTTGTTTGGGATTTATTTCGACATTTGAATTTTTTAGTTGTTGTTTATTTTATTTAAAAATGCTTATATTTTTTTTATTTAGATCCAATACGGTTCCAATACGGCTCCAATACGGTTCCTATTTTGATACGGTTCCTATTTTGATCTAATACGGTTCCAATACGGTTCCAATAACCGTATTAGATCAAAATAGGAAGCGTATTACAACCGTATTAGAACCGTATTGGAACCGAGCAAAAGTTTGTGCTACGAGCAGCATTACTGTTTAACTTCAAAATTGGAAAGTCTGCTGCCGAATCGCATCGTTCTCTCTGTGCTGCTTTCGGAGATGGCAGTTTGTCTCTCAGGCAGTGTCAGACTTGGTTTCAACGATTCCGAGAGGGAGACGAGACTTTAGAGGATTACGAGCACGGTTCGAGGCCAGAAGTCGTGAACGAAGCCACGCTGAGGAACGTTATTCAGGCCGATCCATGCCAATCTGCTCGAGATCTTGCGAAAATATTCCATTGTGATCATGTCACCGTCGAACGCCATCTTTTTTTTGAATTTACCGTAAAATCGGCAGTTTCTTTTGCACCACCCTAATAGTAGTGCACCCAGAGCGTCGCCCTAAATTCTTCGAAATCTCGAGAACCCCTTATCAGAACCTATCGATGTGGAATCGGAAAATAGCTGACGATGAGATCTAGTGGGGGATTTGAGTGTTGAGCCTCTGCAGCTTCTGTGAAAACGTTGAAAGCCGTAAAATCGTCATCAACTCGGCTCGCCGAGCTGCACTACTATTAGAGAAAATACGGTAAATGAGAAAGTAATAAAAGAAATAAATTGCTTTCTCATTAAACCACAAAATTTATTGCTTAACTAAACAAAAACAATAATTTCAATGAAAAAAAATTAAACAATAAAAAATTTTAATTAAATAATAATCTGACAAAAATAAATGATTTGAAAATGAAAAAGAAACGACGACGCGGCGCTCCCATCGACTACCTCCAAATGGCGGAATGCGGAACGTCAATTGGAATGCGACGTCGCGCGTAAATTAATTCGCCAATTGGAATGCGATTTTAAATGCAAATTCGCGTGTAAAAGCTAGATAAAAGAGAATTAACAATCTTTGCTAACAATCTTTGCTAACAATCTTTGCTAACAATCTTTGCTAACAATCTTTGATAACAATCTTTCATAACAATCTTTCATAACAATCTTTCATAACAATCTTTCATAACAATCTTTCATAACAATCTTTGATAACAATCTTAACAATCTCAAATCTCAAATCTCAATTCATTACCCATTCTTGACTGATTTCGATTCATTTCCCAAACCCACACTCCACGTCAATTCATAGCCAATTTATAGCCAATCAGTCAATCAAATCTTTTCTTTTTTACACAATAATTTCAAAATTTCTCTACTTTATTCAATGATTTGGCTGTAATGAAAAATAGTGAGTGATGAGAATGAAATTCGATTAGAAAAACTATTGCGCCGACAGCGCTAATCAAAAAGAAATGAAAAGCGAAATTGTGTTTCCCGAACGGGTAACTTGATGCAATTTTCGATGAGATTTTTGACGATTTTTGATGAATTTTTGACGGATTTTTGAGTCTTTTTTTATTTTTTGAGAGTTTTAGTCTCAAAGTATTCATTTAAAATCATTTAAAACCATTTAAAATCATTTATCAAAATGCACCAGAAATGGCTTGTTTCCAGTTTTAAGCACAAAGAGAAAAGTGAATAGAGTTTAGGGAACTAACTCTCAGAGTTTAGAGAACTAAGTCTCATAGTTTAGGGAATAACTCTCAGAGTTTATAGAACTAATTCTCAGAGTTCAGGGAAATAACTCTCAGAGTTCAGGGAATAACTCTCAGAGTTCAGGGAATAACTCTCAGAGCTTAGGGAATAACTCTCAGAGTTCAGGGAATAACTCTCAGAGTTCAGGGAATAACTCTCAGAGCTTAGGGAATAACTCTCAGAGTTCAGGGAATAACTCTCAGAGTTCAGGGAATAACTCTCAGAGCTTAGGGAATAACTCTCAGAGTTCAGGGAATAACTCTCAGAGCTTAGGGAATAACTCTCAGAGTTCAGGGAATAACTCTCAGAGCTTAGGGAATAACTCTCAGAGTTCAGGGAATAACTCTCAGAGCTTAGGGAATAACTCTCAGAGTTCAGGGAATAACTCTCAGAGTTCAGGGAATAACTCTCAGAGCTTAGGGAATAACTCTCAGAGTTCAGGGAATAACTCTCAGAGCTTAGGGAATAACTCTCAGAGTTTAGAGAACTAACTCTCAGAGTTCAGGGAATAACTCTCAGAGCTTAGGGAATAACTCTCAGAGTTTAGAGAACTAACTCTCAGAGTTCAGGGAATAACTCTCAGAGTTCAGGGAATAACTCTCAGAGCTTAGGGAATAACTCTCAGAGTTTAGAGAACTAACTCTCAGAGTTCAGGGAATAACTCTCAGAGTTCAGGGAATAACTCTCAGAGCTTAGGGAATAACTCTCAGAGTTCAGGGAATAACTCTCAGAGTTCAGGGAATAACTCTCAGAGCTTAGGGAATAACTCTCAGAGTTTAGAGAACTAACTCTCAGAGTTCAGGGAATAACTCTCAGAGCTTAGGGAATAACTCTCAGAGTTTAGAGAACTAACTCTCAGAGTTCAGGGAATAACTCTCAGAGTTCAGGGAATAACTCTCAGAGCTTAGGGAATAACTCTCAGAGTTTAGAGAACTAACTCTCAGAGTTCAGGGAATAACTCTCAGAGTTCAGGGAATAACTCTCAGAGCTTAGGGAATAACTCTCAGAGTTCAGGGAATAACTCTCAGAGTTCAGGGAATAACTCTCATAGTTTAGGGGTCTAACTCCCATAGTTTAGGGAAATAACTCTCATAGTTTAGAGAACTAACTCTCCCAATCAAGGAATCCCATTTCGTTCAATTCCTGAAACACTTTCAAAAACCGATTCTCGTTTTCATTTCTCAGCTTTTTCTTCCGTAAAAGTCGCTTTTTAAAGGCCAAATTTACAGCCAGATTTACAGCCAGATCTAAAGCCAGTTTTACAGATAAAAATGGGTTTCGCGATCGATTATGGAGCCACATTTTTCATGGTCACTTTTTATGTGACATTGGGTAAGAATAGGATTTTTCCTATAAAGATCTACTGGTTTATTCGGCACGACAATCACAATTCGACCGACAATTCGACACACACAATACTTGTATACACAATACTAAACAATTAAAGTAGAAAGGATGGGTGATTCGTTGAGATCTAACAAAGCATTAACGCATTAACGCTTAGAGCATTAACGCTTTCTAGCATTAACGTTTAGAATAGAGAAAAATGATTGATTGATTGATTGATTGAAAAATAATGTAAAATCGGTTTTTCCTCCACACTATTTAAATGTTTACGGTAGAAATTTGTTGTCTCTAGGCATTTTCTCCTCAATCATCAACCTCATCAATATATTTGTCTACAGTCGAAAGGCTATGCGCTCAAAATTTCTCTTTCAATTAACCTTCGAGCTATTCGAATTAGTCGACAGTATTAGGTAAGTAGAGAAAAGGAAGCAAAAGAAAAAAAAAAGGATATGACTATTCCAATGAACAAATATTCAGCTATATTTTGACGGGCGTTGGAAGAGGAAGTGGGCTTTTGGGTGGATATTTCACAACGCCAATCACCGTCAATGATTGCTTTTTTAAGGTAAAGTTTACCATCGAGCTCTGGCGCTCCTTTCTGGCGCACTCGATTCTTCATTTTCTTTCGAGAAATCGATCACTGATGAAAGAAAATGAAGAATCACGAAACGTTGGAGGTATTGAGATACCTGAAAAGGTATTAGCACACAAATTGGAGTGTATTAGCACAAATTGGAGTGAATTAGCACACAAATCTAGGTATGGGGATACCTCCGAGCTATTGGGGTACCTGGTATTGGGGTACTTGGCATTGGGATAGCTGGTATTGGGATACTTGGTATTGGGATACTTGGTATTGGGATAGCTGGTATTGGGATAGCTGGTATTGGGATACTTGGTATTGGGATACTTGGTATTGGGGTACTTGGTATTGGGGTACTTGGTATTGGGGTACTTGGTATTGGGATAGCTGGTATTGGGATAGCTGGTATTGGGATAGCTGGCATTGGGATAGCTGGTATTGGGATAGCTGGTATTGGGATACTTGGTATTGGGATACTTGGTATTGGGGTACTTGGTATTGGGGTACTTGGTATTGGGGTACTTGGTATTGGGATAGCTGGTATTGGGATAGCTGGCATTGGGATAGCTGGTATTGGGATAGCTGGCATTGGGATAGCTGGTATTGGGGTGCTTGGTATTGAGGTACCTTGGAGGTATGGGGATACCTAAAAAGGTAGCATGATACCTCCGAGGTATGGGAAGAGGGGGTGTTGAGAGGTGAGCACAAAGAAAAAGTCGTGAGTCGAAAGGCTTCTTGATAGTCATTAGGGCACAGTGCGTTTCAGAATGCATCCCCAAAAGTCGAGGTTTTTATACGTTCGGAAAGCTTCTGTCAAATTTTGATTATACCATCGTCTTCTCCTTCTTGAATAACTTAAAATTTAACATTTATAACTAAAACTAACGAAATCGTATGGCAAAATTAAACAATGGTCAAAAATTGACCGTTTCAAAACGATAAAGGCACCCAAATCATTTTGCGTTTTTAAACCAATGTGATTTACTTTATTTATTTTTGTTTTCTTATTTTCTCAACTTATTTTCCATATTTCCATTGTCCATTGCTTTGTCTGGCCCTATTGTTTTACGTGGGCTTATTGCTTTGCGGGACCCTATTGCGTTGCGTGGCCCCGTTGCGTAGCCATATTGCGTTGCGTTGCCCCATTGTGTTGCGTCAAGGGAATTGGACATATCAGAAGACAAATTATGAAGCCGGCATTAAAACTTTTGCTTGATCATAGTCTTTATCATTGAATTGTTCAATTTTGCCATACGGTTTCGTTAGTTTTAGTTATAAATGTTAAATTTTAAGTTATTCAAGATGGGGAAAAGGATGTTTTTATCAAAATCGAACATGATATTCTGTCGATGAGATTCGGTCGATGAGATTCTGAAACGCGCTGTCGCTACCTACGCTAACACATTTCTTTTCAGACTTACTGGGTTCACTCGTTGATTCTCGGAATGGAATTACCCTGTTACATGGTGATTCTCATGTCAATTGAGAGGATTTGTGCCGCGTTGAAACCGGCACTTTACAAGAAATATTTCTCGGGTGCTCAGAAGATGTGGTTTGTGACGATCGTCATTACTGGTGGCTTGGTGAGTAGTCTTCGGTTCATACAACAAGGCTAGAGCTAGACAAGGCTAGAGCTAGGCTAGAGGTGGAACTGGCTAGAGCTGGAGCTGGCTAGAGCTAGACAAGGCTAGAGCTAGACAAGGCTAGAGCTAGACAAAGGAAGAATTTCCAACTTAAACCCAAATCCCACCTTCATCTCAGCCTTCTCTTGGCCGATTGCTCTGAATCAGGAAAATCTTCAAAAAAGTCAAAGAATTGTGACGTCAAACAGCTTTGACACCAAGACCTTGAGTTACTTTTTCAGAAATTTGAATTGAAATGGGGAAACTTTTTTTGAAAACTCTGTAGAAAATCTAGCACGTTTTCTAAAACATGACAGCTTTCGAAAGCTACTCGAATCTAGAATCTAAAGCTAAGCTGGGATTTAAAGCTAATCCTGGATCTAAACTAGTCTTGAATCTAAAGCTAACCTGGACTCTTAAGCTAATATTGAATCTAAAGCAAATCTAGAATCTAAAGCTAATCTTGGATCTAAAGCTAACCTAGAATCTAAAGCTAATCTAGAAACTAAAGCTGATCTGGAATCTGGATTCTAAGGCTAATCTTGAATCTAAAGCTAATCTTGAATATGGAATCTAGAATCCCGGTATGTAAATAGCCACCATATCGTTCAAACTGAATACCCTAAAGAAATGAAGATATTTTAGTTAAGAAATGAAGATATTTTAGATATCCCTCTTCATGGCTGGTCTTTCAGCTGATGGAGATACAACACTCACTGGCACACATCATTGTGCGATCATCACGTCGACGAGTAAAAGTTCGTTGGAAATTTTTCTCCAGCCTAGGGATTGAACCATGGCTTGGCTTTGGCTGACAAAGAAGATTTTCAAGGTCGGGGCAAATTTACAAGCCCAATAGAATGAACTGATCTGAACTGCCTGGAGATTTGGTCCTTGAAACAGTCTTGTTTCTAAATGGTCCTTCAACCAGTCTTGTTTCTAATTGGCCCTTGAAACAGTCTTGTTTCTAATTGGTCCTTCAAACAGTCTTGTCTCTCACCACAAATAACCCAAACGTCATTTCCATATGAGTAATCAGAGCTTTCTTTCAGCTTACTCAACTTTTCACTTCGCCATTGTCATCGTCGCTTATCTAGTCTCATTTTTCTCACTCCTCATCGTCTACCTCGTTTCAAAGGTTCGACCTTTTTCGAGACTTGACTAAAGTTCTAAAAAGTGCTTGGTTATCGTAACCCATTCAGTTACCAGAGGGTTACGGTAGCTAGGACACAGGTAGGCTGGTTTAATCTTTGCATTACTGCATTGTCCTAATTTGGTGAGTTACGCTAATCTCTTTATGGATTACGAACTATAAACTACGGATTACGGTAGCCAGCCAGACTTTAAAGCGACGATTCTAGACGTTTTTAACTCATCAACTCCAAAAAAACATTAACAGTCGAATTGCAGCACGTGGAAGGCATGATCGCGAGACGGGATCGCGAGAAGAAAATCTCGTTAATGCTGGGCATTTGTGGGATCTCAATGGTGTTAGTCTCTCTACCATCAATTGTCATGATTGGCATCAAGTAGGCAAAAAAATAAACCGTATTTTAAGCATTTCGTCGCTTTCTAAAGCGTACACTTTCTAGCGTAAATTCCTCATTTTTCTCATAACATCAAGTTGTTATCGAGAGAAAAATGAGGGATCGAGTGCACTAGAAAGGATTTGTAGTTTGTAGTTTACAAGTGAGCACAAAGTAAAGCGGTATTTTGTAATCTCAACAATTTCAGATGGGGTCTCTGGGTTGTGAGCGATCTAGTGGTAGCGCTCACCTACGGGATGCCTGGGTAACCTTTTTTTTCAAATTAGCTATTTAAATAATTAACTATCATACCGTATTTCCTCTAATAAACGCCCCCCCCCCCTTGACCAACTTTGGACGCTTCGTTCTCAGCCCCATTTTGAGGTATTTTTATGTTTAATATATCAAAAGATAGAAGACATTAAGGGCTATCTTTTGATATATTAAACATAAAAATACCTCAAAATGGGGCTGAGAACGAAGCGTCCAAAGTTGGTCAAGGGGGGGGGGGGGGGGGGCGTTTATTAGAGGAAATACGGTAAGCTAAAAAGGAATAGGATCTTAGAAAATCAATAATTTCAATCAGTTTAATAATTTCAATCAGTTTAATAATTTCAAGCAGTTTCTGTTTCAGTTTCTGCTAGAGATGAAAGCAATTTAGGTGCTTAACCATTGCGAATACTTGCATAAACTTGATTTTCCGGAAGGACTACCGCGAGCAGTTTATTGGAATATTTGGGTGCGTTTTTCGAGTAAACTAGAATAGAATTTGAGCCATTAAAAGCCATTAAAAGCCATTAAAAGCCAAAGAGCCATTAAAATAGCATTTCCCTAACATTCCCCAACATTCCCTAACAACGTTTCAGAGTTCATGCCGAGAAAATGACGAACAAAGTGCAAATCTCAGTCACCCAGTCTCCATCACTTCACTCGCATGCCCCATCACCACAAATATTTCGCTCAATTGCTCAAATGGCAATGACGAAAGTTGAGCCTTGATTTTTATGTAAATTTCTTTTTTTCATCTTTGTTATATTTTTGAACTGGACCTGGAAACAGACCGTACTCGCGCGTAGTCGACGCGATCGAGTCCGCTACAAACCACTGTAACTTTCTTTAGCCTTGATACTTTTAGATGTGTTTAGTTCATTTAAAAGCTCTTGAGATTCTCTAGTTTTTCAGCTATAGATCATGTCAATCCGATAGATTTGAACCAAGTTAGAAGCGTTTGTAGTTTACGTTTGTAGTTTACATTTGTAGTTGACGTTTGTAGTTTACGTTTGTAGTTTACGTTTGTAGTTTACGTTTGTAGTTTCTAGTGCTCAGGTCTAGAATGGATCCTGGTCAAAGGGTTAGGGACGGCTCTTGACTATATGAAGTTAGAGCTGATCTGGCAGACTCTGGGATTCGGATATTCTAACCAGATCAGGTCAGAGCTAAGCTAGATCCCGAATCCTAAAGAATCTTAGTATGGGCAAGACAGGCAAGGCAAAGCAAGTGAGGTAAAGCAAGTGAGGCAAAGCAAGTCAGGCAAGACACGCTAGGCAAAGCAAGCCAGGCAAGGCAAGGTAGGCAAGGCAAAGCAAGTGAGGTAAAGCAAGTGAGGCAAAGCAAGTCAGGCAAGGCAAGGCAGGCAAGGCAAGGCAGGCAAGGCAAGGTAGGCAAGGCAAGGTAGGCAAGGCAAGCCAGGCAAGGCAAGTCAGGCAAGGCAAGTCAGGCAAAGCAAGTGAGGCAAAGCAAGTGAGGCAAGGCCAGTCCGACAAGACACGCTAGGCAAAGCAAGCCAGGCAATTCAGGATTAACCAGGGTCAATCTACCCCTAGATGTTTCTCCAAATAGCAGCCTAAAGTCTAGATATAACGCGACGCTTGTACCGTAGCGCCTGTAGCATTTCTATCACAAATTTCTGTACCATATTCCCTGTAGGGTTTCTACTCTATTTTGTGAATCCTCTTGTACAGTTTGTGTAAAACCACGTTTACACTGAGCTACTTTAGCCACTGAGCTAAAATTGAATTTCTAAAGCTAAAGCTACTGTACGTCACTCGATTAGCGTTTCATTTTCAATCACAAACTATCTTTGCTGCCTACATGCGCAAAGATAGTCATTTTCTATGCTCACTCAAATAAACGGGTACTTATCGTTGTGAAATTGTTCTTTACAACTTTTCTTTACATTGTGCTTTGGAGAGAAAATTGTTTATTGCAAAGACACGTAGAATTAAATCATTTTAATGGAATGGAATGAATGGAAAATGGAATCAAAACGAGCACCAAATGAGTAAGAATAAAGAAAAATATTTGTAGCTTTAAAGGCGATGAATGAAACGAGACAATGAGACGATTTAACTCAACAATCGTAAACTACCGTAATGATTTTAATATTAGGTTGTTCGGATATAAACGAGCGTTTTAGTAGTCGACAAAATTTATCTTAAAAACAGAAACAACACAGTTTAATCCAAAATCTATTTACCATTATTATTGATTGCTTCTTGCCATCTTTTGCGCAAAGAATTGATGCCGCTCTTGAAAAACTCAGCCGGCTGTGACTCGAGAAACTTGGCGACCCAATTTGGGATATCTTCACGGGTTTTGATTTTCTCATTAGCCAAAAGGTTTTGCATCGACCGGAATAAATGGAGGGAGCTAGATCGATAGAATGGAGGGAGCTAGATCGGTAGAATGGAGGGAGCTAGATCGGTAGAATGGAGGGAGCTAGATCGGTAGAATGGAGGGAGCTAGATCGGTAGAATGAGAGAGCTAGATCGGTAGAATGGAGGGAGCTAGATCGGTAGAATGGAGGGAGCTAGATCGGTAGAATGAGAGAGCTAGATCGGTAGAATGGAGGGAGCTAGATCGGTAGAATGGAGGGAGCTAGATCGGTAGAATGGAGGGAGCTAGATCGGTAGAATGGAGGGAGCTAGATCGGTAGAATGGAGGGAGCTAGATCGGTAGAATGAGAGAGCTAGATCGGTAGAATGGAGGGAGCTAGATCGGTAGAATGGAGGGAGCTAGATCGGTAGAATGGAGGGAGCTAGATCGGTAGAATGGAGGGAGCTAGATCGGTAGAATGGAGGGAGCTAGATCGGTAGAATGGAGGGAGCTAGATCGGTAGAATGAGAGAGCTAGATCGGTAGAATGGAGGGAGCTAGATCGGTAGAATGGAGGGAGCTAGATCGGTAGAATGGAGGGAGCTAGATCGGTAGAATGGAGGGAGCTAGATCGGTAGAATGGAGGGAGCCAGATCGGTAGAATACGGCGGATGTGGTAGAAGCTCCTCCCATCCTAGATTCTCCAGTTTTTGCTGAGTGATTTTTGCAACGTGAGGTCTAGCGTTGTCAGCGATGGACGATGGTCTAGCGATGGACTTTATCTTTGATGTGTCTACTCCTTGACGAATGAGAGCTTCATTGACCCGATCAAGTTGCTGTTTGTAGAGGTCTGATATGACTGTTTGGCCGGGTTGTAGAAGCTCGAAATACACAAGGACCTTGTTATTCCATGACCGAGCATGACCTTTTTCCCATGAATGCCCGGTTTCACGGTCGGATTCGGCCGTTCTCCTGGTCCTAGTCATTTCCGTTTTCGAATAGTATTATCGAAATGGATCCACTTCTTATCTCCAGTAACGAGAGAATCAAAAAAGCCATGATATTTAGCGTGGCGGATGAGAATTCCGGCAATAGCGAAGCCTTGTTTGCACTGCTTAACTCGCGAGGAAGCCATTTCCCGCATCTGGTCGTCTTTGCAATGGTCTCAGCTCAAGGTTTGTAATCGACTGGAAACACAGTGCATTCGGCAATAGTTCAAAGATGCCATTACCCGCAAGTGGAATGCGAGAAGAAGCACAATCAAGAAGCCCAAGAAGCACAATCAAGAAGCTAGTTGACAGCATGTCGAGTATTTAACGTGATCAGTCGCCAGGGATAACAAAATAATAATAACTATTAAACTTTTATCGTTATGAATAAACCTTGTTATCTTAAAAATGAATAAAAATGCAAGAACGACACCAAAATTTGCGGGGAAAGGTGGCAAAATTTGCGGGCGGAAGGTGGAATTTACATTCGGCTTTTGCATTTTCTCTATTCATCTTATGTCGATGATTTCTTTAGGTTTAAGGGTTGTTTCTGGTTCTGAATCGAACTACGTTTTCAGTTTTTTTTCATCACTAGCAAGGAAGCCGCAGAAAATTGAAATTTAGGCGGTGGTGGATGGTTTTGCATCGCACTGTACAACCCCTGTATAATCTGTATAAATCACACACTCAAAGAAACCTTTTTTGTTGAAATTTCTTGTGTTACAGTGTTATCTGGAAGTTGTCTTTTGAATAGTAGATCTGAATCTTTCCAAGAAATCGCAAAAAATCAGGGTTTGCATAGCACGGGATTGAACCCAACGGCGAAGGAATGACAGCCGTTTTAGAGACTAGGCCTTTATCCACTTGGCCACGAGCCCATCCCTGACCGGCAGCGAGAGAAACTTTATAAAGGGATCAGCTTTGAAATGATGCTTTGAATGAGGCTTTGAATAATGCTTTGAAATGATGCTTTGAATGATGCTAGGAATCAGTTTTGAATCCAGATTCCATGCCAGATTGCATGCCAGATTCCTTGTCAGATTCCATGCCAGATTCCATGCCAAATTCCTCACGTTTCCGTGGCTATTAGCGGCTAATATTTGTGGCATTTTGCTCGTTATTTCTGTTCGCTATTACGCTATTACTATTTCTGTTCGCTATTGCGCTATTTCTGTTCGCTATTCCCCTATTTCTGTTCGCTATTACGCTATTTCTGTTCGCTTTTCCCCTATTTCTGTTCGCTATTACGCTATTTCTGTTCGCTATTACGCTATTTCTGTTCGCTATTACGCTATTTCTGTTCGCTATTACGCTATTTCTGTTCGCTATTTCTGTTCGATATTTCTGTTCGCTATTTCCCTATTTCTGTTCGCTATTTCTATGCACTGTGTTTCCAGTCGATTTCAAACTTTGAGCTGAGTCCATTTTTTGTGCAATGAGTGCCCGACAATATGGCCCTTTTATTATCTCTATAATATTGTACTTTCGAGTTTGGACCGTCAAGTGGAATTCAGCCTGCATTTGTTTCATGTATTAGTTTTAACATTTGATTCAATTTGACTTTTTACGGGCTCTTTAAAGTTTATTTTTCATGTATCACCGCTGATATTAGGGCCTATAGAGTGCCCGTCTATTGGCATACAAACAACCACTTTTACTTCTCTCGATTTGACTGCTTTTGCGAGCGTGGCTTTACGAGAAATTTTCATTGATAATCGTTTGTTGAGAGTTTTTGATTTTTGTCAATACAAATCATTAATTTTGTTTAGGAAAATGCTACTTCTTCTACTTAGGCTTAGTGACTAAATTTTATGTAAATCTTGCGCTTTTCACACATACAATTTTGCAAAATCACCCATTTTCTTGAGTTGCTTTCGTAACCGCACGAATTTGCCGTTATTTGACCAAAAGGGCATTGGAATTTATTCCCCAAAACCGTTTTTACGTCAACAATCGTTAGACAAAGGCTATTTGCCTTTACAAGTCCGCCTTTTTGCTTCGAATTTGACCTTAAAAGCATACTTCCTTTAATATCTCTGTGTTTTTCAGCTTTTCCTCTTGTTTCTGCTCGTTTTATTCCTCGATTGGTTTTATATAATGTTCTGTTCGTTCCAGATGGTTCGACAGAAGAACGAGCCGAACAAAATCGACGGGCGGAAACGCGACTCGATCGGGGAAACGTGGCGAGATGAGCGAAATGACGAAGATAAGGGAAAGCCCATCGTACCCGTTCAACAACAACACAATGATGCACAGGAAGAAGTGAGGCTTGAAAAAAATTTGGTACCTTTTATTGACTAGTGTACCCGTCCTTTGGCTAAGTGGTACTTTTCCAGTGTCGTGGTAGTGCATTTCAAGGTTCTTTTCCCCATTTGCTCTAGACGCAGCTCTGACTTCAGTTTTTCTTTTGATTTCTGTTGAATTAGATAGAAGCGGCTTAAACTAGTTTAAAAGTAGATGAAAAGGTAAAGAACCTTTAAAGACAGTAAACTTATAGGTCAAGACAGTTAAAATTTGCCATCCTGATACTTGGGAAGCTACTGACTCGGTCTTTCCTCTAATTTCTCAAGTTTACAAAGTGCTCATGTCTAGTAAATGGCTAATTGTATTAAATTTATCGAGAGTTTCTTCTGAATCACGAAAAATTTCACTTTTAGGCGGATCGCTTACTTCACAAATGGGAAATGAACCCGGAACCGTCAGAGGAATACCTACGTATTATTGATGAAAATCGTTACATGATGAAAATCAGCGAGAAGGCCTCCAATAAGTCGAATGCGAGGTAGAAATTTAGCCAATTGAACAAATCAATGCCTTTTTTCAGGTTTTGGTTTAACGTGAAGAAAATCGAGGACAAGTACGCGAGGCGGGATCCGGACAAAGAGATAATCGTGAGTTATAATGCCAATATCGAACTGAGCCCACGTTTAGTACGACTTCAAGATGAAAAAAGTCTTTGTGTCCAAGGCGATCACTGATGAGGAGGCGTTGAAACAAGTTGGATATTATAAATTAACGTCAAATTTTGGGTTGAGATGCAAAAGTTGACCGAGATGCCCGAGTTTGGGGAGAGCGTTCTATCGTGTTTCGATTCGTCAACACAAGAGGATGATTCGCCCGCGCAAAAGAGGGTGAATCGCCAGAGGGGCGCGCTGAATAAGGTTATTGGGATGGCCTGCTTTTGGTTATATTCGGTTCTAGACAAGAAATATTGCCTTTTGGCATTAAAAGTCAGATTAGGGCTAGTGCTAGGCTCTAAGTTAACCCAATGCCTATCCAAAGTCGATAAGCTTTTGATTGTTGAGCTACTCTGGCTCTGGAATAGGCCATGTATTATAAAGGAGACTAAAATTGCGTTACAAAATAGTATAGGGTAGAAATAAGCTTTAAACACGCCCTATCCTGGTCTAGATCTATCAAAAGGCGATAAGTTTTGTCTTTGTTGTAGCCTAACTCGAGAACAAGATTAAAATTTGCTAATCCTAACAAATTTAGATATTCGAAATGCAGTACGAGTCGTGCCCACTTGCCCTGTTGCCAAAGGAGCCGACTCTACAGCTACCACCACCACCAGTTCTCCTACCAGTCGAGGGGGTGCCCACCGAGAGGGAGACACGCAAAAGGACGATTACCATCACTGGAGCGGCCTCGGAAGTGTTACGAAGTAAGTGGTTTAAAGATTAATCTGACATAATTTGCTTACATACGTACGTACAGTCATCTCCTCGACAAACAACATCTTCGCCCTCTTCTCCAACGAGAAACCAGCGCTGACGGGTGATGCGACTGTGGAAAAAAAAAACGAGGCTGAGCCAACCGTCGAGAAAAACGTTGAAAAACTGGATGCGAATCATATGAAATGCGTCAAAGAAGAGCTGATCGATTTCCCGGTCAATTCGATGATGAACAACGCTGGTATTGGCTTAAACTTTTGTACATTGGGTTAAACGTTGTTTAGATCTCACAAATCGACGTTCATCGCGAAGAAAAACGATCGATAATGCTTTCAACGATGAATCGATGCAAATCGTCAAGAGGAAACCAAAGGATTTTGGTACAATTTTACTATTTTCTCACTTAAAACTTTTCCTAGAAATTTCCCCAAGGCAACCCTCTCAATCGGTACAAAAGTCTCAGTCTCAATCAATCGAGCGTTGCTTTTATGTTTGAAAGACTTTAATTCATATTCTTAAGATCGTTTGTAAATAAGATGTATTTATCATGGTTGTTATGGTTTGTAGTTTGTCATAAGAAAAACACAAAACTTGTATTTTATTTTAATTTTATTAATTTTTAAAATTCAGCAGATTCATGTTTCTTTAACTTCATAAGTGATAAATATTATTGCACTTATTCTAAATCCTCTGTATTATCTTCATCATCCATACTATTATTTAGTATCAAATAAATGGTCAAAGACCATATTTTCAGTTAATCTTGAACTATTTTTTCTTTTGCAAACTACATCTTGAACAAAAACTTAGTGAAATTCAAGATGATCTGCCAGAAGATTTGACTTGTGGAGGATACCAAAATGAACTCAACTCTTTGAAATCAACCTTCCTTTGCCAATTCCAAAAACTTTGCTTTATTACTAATGGGGGAAGTTCTTCAAGTAGGGTGGGACCCACCGGCAAAATAAGAATCTTGATAGCTCAGTGGTAAAGTAATTGCCGGACAAAAAAATGTCCAGGCTTCAATCCACTTTTCTTTATTAAACATTTATGTTAATACTCTTTCAGTTAACAAAATCCCGATCCTTCTCTTACCAACAACGATGAGTCGGACCAAGAGATGGAGAGATGGGAATTATGATCTCCATTTCTCGGAAAGCTCTTTGAATCTTGAGACTGGGGGAACGATTATGGATTCTTGGGATTACGGGTCGATCTTGTGGTGAGAAAGGTTTCAAAAGTTACTCATAGATTAAACAAAGGCGTTTCCAAAACGAACAAAGAGTTTTAAAGGTTTCGATCATAATTTTGCTTAGCATCCCAATCAAAACTCATTTGAAAATCAGTTTATCAGATTCGTTTACTATTAAAACTTATATTTCCAGGGTAGCCACTGGGGAACGATGTCTTGGCTTTGAAGTGGAAAGTGCCGGAATCATCGAGTGTGCTTGTGCTGCTCCACAACTTGCTGTCGACAACTTCCGAAAATTCGTTAAATAGATTCGTTGTATAAATTCGTTAGATGGCTTGTGCTGATTTGGTAAACTCATATTTGGCTTGTGCTGATTTGGTCTTGAGATTTTGAAGCCAGGAATGTCTTGAGATTTTGAAGCCCTTGTCAGAATCGAGGCCCGTGATTTTCCCATAGCCCTTGAGATTCTAGATATTCGGAAGTTGCCGATAGTCGAGCCTCCACCAATCGCAACGAAAGACAGCGCGCTGTCTTTCGTTGCGGCCATTCGTTTGGAAAGTACGAGCATATATTTGACATTGAGGCCATCCAGAAGTACGGTAATTGAAGCGTATTTGAGAAAACAGGGCCCTATTTCTGAGCAGGACAAGAAAAAAGTTATAACTTTGCGCAGAATGATTATTTTTAATTACTTTTTGAACTAAAATGCTTAAAAAGAATCTTAAAATAAAAATTATTAGACAGAATTTTTTTGCTCATAAACTTTTTTTGAGAATCAGACCTCCAAACTTTACCCCTGTTTTGGAAAATTGGTGCATTTTCTACTTCAGAAACTCTGGGTTTATAAAATAATTTGTTAGATGTTAAAATCTAAAAAGATATTTTCAAATGTCTTCTTTTAAATAAAAACAAAACGAAGTCTGAATGCCGAATAGAAATTTTTTTCTATGATTTTGAAAATAACAACTTTTCACTTTTTGGAGTTCTCAGAAAAAGCTGATTTTAAAACAAATTTGTCAAACGGATTTCAAAATCATTATCATTTTTGGAATCAGTACAAAATTCTGCGTCGAATGGTACTTACTAGAAGAAATTTCATCAGAAAACGCATTTTTACATAGTTTTCGCGCGGACGTGCAGCGGGGTTTCGGTGGGCGAAACAAAGGAACAAGTGAGATCTTTCAGAATATCCTAGAACTTAGAAATAGTGGCTACATTCGCTAGCCAGAGTTTTAATCTAATTGTGTCAAATTTTTAGCCAGCTTCAATCAGCCGAACAACCTCCAGCAGTATGCAAGAACTGGCGGCAAAAGAGAAAAACGAAGAAAGGAAAACGTTTATGAAATTTTTTAGAAGGTAAGAATTGAAATAGAATCCTTATCTTGTCAATCTTAGTATTAGATTCTTGGTCAATTGTTGTCTAAAATTAAAATTCGCTTTAGAAACTCGGCAAAGCAACGCCAGCAAAGGTCAAGCAAAGGTCGAGAATCATTCGAGCAAAACGCCAGCAATGAATGGCTCGCAATGAATGAGTAATCACAAAGATCAAATATCTATTCAGCCTTGATACTTTTAGATGTGTTTAGTTCATTCAAAAGTTCTTGAGATTCTCTATTTTTTGAGCTATAAATCATGGCAATCCGGCAGATTTGAACCAAGTTAGAAGCGTTTGTAGTTTACGTTCGTAGTTTACGTTGTAGCTTACGTTGTAGCTTACGTTGTAGCTTACGTTGTAGCTTACGCTTGTAGTTTATAGTGCTCAGGTCTAGAATGGATCCTGGTCAAAGGGTTAGGGACGGCTCTTGACGTGAAGTTAGAGCTGATCTATGAAGTTAGAGCTGATCTGGCAGACGCTGGGGTTCGGATGTTTTAACCAGATCAGGTCAGAGCTAAGCTAGATCCCGAATACTAACCGTTTCTCATAGTGTAGGCAAGTCAGGCAAAGCAAGTCAGGCAAAGCAAGTCAGGCAAAGCAAGCTAGGCAAGGCAAGCTAGGCAAGGCAAGCCAGGCAATTCAGGATTAACCTGGGTCAATCTACCCCTAGATGTTTCCCCAAATAACAGCCTAAAGTCTAGATATAATATAAAAATCTGTAACTTTAAAGACGATGAATGAGACGAGACAATGAGACGATTTAACTCAACAATCGTAAACTACCGCAATGATTTTAATAGAAGCCCTGGGACTTCTATTGGATTGTGATAGATTCCTGTTCTCCAACTCCGTTCTCCAACTTAAACGACGTCAATTGTCATTCACCTCCTTTCAACCTTTGCCTTTGCACCTTTTTCTTGACTCCTTTTGTTTCAATGCACTTTTCTTCAATTGAAACAATCTATATTCCAGTTTCCAGCAGATTCCAGTAGTAGATTCGTACTCTTTCTTTTGGCAAAGTTGTGATTCGTTTTACGGTTCACGACTCAAATTCCTTTGCTTGCTTTTGTTCGATCGAAGTAGGAATCCAAAGTGAGAATCCATCTCTCTTAAGAAACTTTTGTAGCCATTTCTCTTAAGAAACTTCTGTAACCATCTGTCGTGATGATCTCGTGATCGAGATCGATGGAAATAACCAGCCAGACACGTTTAGCCAGACAGATTTAATCGAGAAATGTGCCTATTGTGCGAGATTTAATCGCTATCCGCTATCCGCTATCCTCTATCCGCTATCCGCTATCCGCGATCCCTATCCGTTCAACTCCATTGTGTGCAAGACGAGACCAACACCAAAGTTCTGTATAAAAGCAATGTGAACGAGCTACCGAGGTGTGCCGTGGAGTCATTTCTACTCTCCCAAACCACTGAACCAACTATTATTGCTGTAATAAAGATATATCTAAATTATGTCTAAACCAACAATAATCACTACACCATCCTTTAGTCGTCGCAAAGTTGTTGCTGAATTCTTCTTGAGTTCTTCTTAAATTCTGCTTATTTTCACAATTTCTAATGAATAACGTGACTCCTTTTCGAAGGTTTTGATTTGTTTGAACCTTTGGAAACATTTGGAAACATTTGGAAACATTTTGAAACCTTTTGAAACCTTTTGAAACCTTTGGAAAAGTCGGTTCCTTTTGATTCCTCTTGATTCAATATTCAGAGACAATTCTTACAAAGGAATGGTCTCAGCTCAAAGTTTGTAATCAACTGGAAACACAGTGCATTCGGCAATAGTTCAATGATGCCATTACCCACAAGTGGAATACCATCCCAAGAAGCACAATCAAGAAGCTAGTTGACAGCATGTCGAATGTTTAACGTGATCAGTCGCCAGGGATAACAAAATAATAATAAATATTAAACTTTTATTGTTAAGAACAAACTTTGTTATCTCAAAAAATGAATAAAAATGCAAGAACGACACCAAAATTTGCGGGAAAAGGTGGCAAAATTTGCGGGCGGAAAGTGGAATTTGCATTCGGCTTTTACATTCGGCTACATTTTCTCTATTCATGCTATGTCGACGATTTCTTTAGGTTTAAGGGTTGTTTCTGGTTCTGAATCGAACTAGGTTTTCAGTTTTTTTGTCACGGGCACGGGAGCCGCAGAAAATTGAAATTTAGGCGGTGGTGGATGGTTTTGCATCGCACTGTACAACCCCTGTATAATCTGTATAAATCACACACTCAAAGAAACCTTTTTTGTTGAAATTTCTTGTGTTACAGTGTTAATTGGACTTTGTCTTTTGAAAAGTAGATCTGAATGTTTGCAAGAAATCGCAAAAAACATGATTTTGCATGGGGCGGGATTGAACCCAAGGGCGAAGGAATGACAGCCGTTTTAGAGACTAGGCCCTTATCCACTCGGCCACGGGCTCATCCATGCCCGGCAGCGAGAGAAGCTTTATAAAGGGATTAGCTTTGAAATGATGCTTTGAATGAGGCTTTGAATAATGCTTTGAAATGATGCTTTGAATGATGCTAGGAATCAGTTTTGAATCCAGATTCCATGCCAGATTGCATGCCAGATTGCATGCCAGATTCCTCACGTTTCCATGGCTATTAGCGGCTAAATTTTATGGCATTTTGTGCGCTATTTCTGTTCGCTATTACGCTATTTCTGTTCGCTATTACGCTATTTCTGCTCGCTATTACGCTATTTCTGTTCGCTTTTACGCTATTTCTGTTCGCTATTACACCATTTCTGTTCGCTATTTCTATGCACTGTGTTTCCAGTCGATTTCAAACTTTGAGCTGATTTCAAGTCGATTTCAAACTTTGAGCCATTTCATTAGCATTTCACGAAATTTTACCACTTCTTTGTGCCAAAAATTGTACAGCTGGGACTGTAGTAATTATGAAAAGAGTGTGCTGAGGGGTGCTTCTATGCTGAAAAGAGATAATAAAAGGGCCATATTGTCGGGCACTCATTGCACAAAACACAGAAATTAGCATTTGGTCGAGATTGAAGAAACAACAAAAGCAACTCCATCAAATTGCTTTCCACTTTTCTTTGTTTAGGAAAACACTACATCTTTGAGGCATAATCTGTTATTACTGTAAGTGCATCTTTCAAAGACTATTTTTCAAAGACAATTCAAAGAGGATAGGCAAAGCCAGGATCAGTTTAGAAGATTTGATTTGCTTCATAAAAAGATTGCTAGCAGATTTGCTTCATAAAAACAAATCCAAGCCTGGTTTCTAGTACCAGCAGAAGATCAGAAATGCCTTCTAAACTGGCTTTAGGTCTAGATCTGGCAAATGAACTGCGAGCTGGCTTGGCTTGGCTTGGCTTGGCTTGGCTTGGCTTGGCTTTGCTTGGCTTGGCTTGGCTTTGCTTCCAGTTTGATCTTGGCCTTGTTTTGGCTGGACTTGCTTTTGATGTTTTATTATTGATTGATGTGTATGTTGTCCTTGATGTCTTATTGCAAGCCTTGATGTCTTATTGCAAGTCACGAAAAAGCCTAACGAACAGAATAGCTAAGATTCTCAGGCTTTGACCTAACTTCCAGCCTTTCAGACCACAAACCTAGACCTGGCTAGGTTTGTGGGGCCTGACCTATCTGGGCCTGGCTCTGACCATGGATTTTGGACTTGGCTCTTACCTTGCCTTGTTTTGTGTACATCACAAAGAGTACTTGTACTGAATAGAAGCTGGTATTCTGTTTGGGGATTTCGTTCCTCCAAAGCTTCTCGGGAGAAGCTCCAAAGCTCCAAAGCCTTATCCATCCAAAGCTCCAAAGCCTTATCCATCCAAAGCTCCAAAGCCTTATCGGAAGATTCTCCTCTCCTTATTTGATATCTGTTCAACAATCATGAGCTTACTCAATGTAGTGCTTGATCAACTTGATTAAGGACATTAAATAAA